TTTATCTGACAAGAAAAAATCGTAGAACTTATCCAATGAGATTGAAAGGGAATGTGTATAATAATAATAACAGTAAATATTTGTGGAAATATGCTGTGAACACCTCAGCAACTTACTCAAACTAATATTAAAGTTAATTTTCAATTATGGACAATTTAAATCAAGCTATAGGTTTATTGTTTAGAATAATGTCTTAATGTTCAGGTTCAGTAAAATGGGTTTAATGAATTTAAATGAATTTAATCAAAAGCATTTAAATGAATTCAAATTATTTAGGAAGTATTTACATATTTTATAATTTTATCTATTATGTGACATATTATTATACTAATTAGATAGATTTTAATTAATCTTTCTTCCAAATGCTTGTTTAATAGTTTCTTATTAAATATAATTATTAATATTGTTAATATTAACTCTTAATTAACTAAGTAGTACTTAAAAGAGATTTCAACCTTATCACACATTCTTTTGAAAATTATAATTCATGATCTATATTTTATTCAGAAGATTGCAGTAATTTGAACACGATTTGAATTGCATATCGTAAATGTTTGTCAAAGATATCAGGCAAAACTGCAGATGAATATGTTCACAAAATTATTGTGGAAATATTCTACGAGTAATTGACTTAAATTATTTTGCTTAAAACTAATTTCAGCTATGGAAATTGAAATCAAAATCAATTCTGAAAAATTCAATTCAAGTTCAGCTATTGATTCCAAGTTAAGAAAAATATACTATTGAAAAATAAATTTTTCATTTGTTAAAATATAGAGTAATCCCTTCAGTATGAACATCTAACATGAACCTGAACATTGAACATGAACAATGAACATGAACATTGAGCATGAACATTGAACATGAACATTGAACATGAACATTGAACATGAACATTGAACATGAACATTGAACTTGAACATTGAACTTGAACATTGAACATGAACATTGAACATGAACATTGAACATGAACATTGAACGTGAACATTGAACGTGAATATTGAATGTAAACATTGAACGTGAACATTGAACGTGAACATTGAACGTGAACATTGAACGTGAACATTGAACATGAACATTTATCACACTTTTAAATACTTTGAAGTATGGCGCTAAGACTTGCAACAGCCTGAAAACATCGCTATGTTAAATCGCACTCAGATAGTAGGCAACCTTGCAGCAAACATTGTATTTTCGTTTTTGTTTAATTGGCATAGATGGGCTAACAGATTATTAATTTTTAAATTTAAGTAAAAATATTAGTATCAAAGCTTGTTCCCTTAAATATTGAATAAAGGTGTTCAAATACCTTTACAATAATATCGCATATGTTAGCTTTTATTTACAGGTACTGTGAACCTTGTTTTTGCTTTTTATTTCATTCTAGCTTTGTCATAGATCTCAAATGCTACATATTGTTTTCTTTGAAAACTTAATGATCGGGTCTACCTTCCCTTTTAAAGTGTTAAAGAATATATATAAAAGTTTGTGCAAATAAACTTTGTTTCAGTCATGATCATAAAATCTAAATTAATCCTTCAGAAGATGCTTCCTACTCTTGATTTGCAAATTATAATTCACTTTGATTTCAAAAAGTTTTTCTAGTCTTGTTTTGTAAAAGCAGATTCAATCTTGAATTAAAGTCGTTGTTTATGCAAGCATAATGCGAACCTCAGAGCACGTTAACTGGCATAGTTAAATTAAACATTGTTTCATGGTTTATTTGCTATTTATTCAATAACGTGTTTGGGCTTTGTGATAGACGTTGTTGCTGACATTATAATGAACCAGACTCTGCTATCTTAGATGCTATTTTAATTCCTTATCTTGATTAATATGCAGCAATATTATGGTTTAAATTGAGAGAAAACTTTAACATCTTAATAAGCACGTCGTGAATTTGAACAGTTATTTACCAGTTTGGTAATTTGAAGGGCTTAAGATACCAAATATTACGGTTATTTGGTAATAGGACTTTTCTGGCAATATATTAGCTGATGCCATTGGTGAATAGCACTTTTATGATGCACGTGAAAATTAGAGTTAACCTTCCTTTTCAACGAAGACAACGCCTTTTTTCCATACGGACAAATATGTTTTAAATTATTAAAATATTTGAAACTCAAACATTAGTATAAGTGTTAAAAACAATGAATACAGCTTTAAGAATTTGCTCTGTGAAAAATGGAACCTTTCTCCCTTAGTTTATTTTCAATACTCCCGATATGTAGACATTTCTTTTTACACATTCCTTTATTTTGGAAAAAAAATAGGAACTCGTGGGGGGGGGACTTGTTTCTTTCTCTTTTTTCCTTTCCTGAATGCTCTTTTTCCACTCCTTTCTTCTTTTTTTTCGCAGTCCATTATGCATCCCCACTTATACGAAAGAAAGTATTGATAAAAAGTTTTTGCGGCGTTTGCAGTTTTTAGACTCCACGAGTGTGACTACAGCACGCACCTACATATAACTTAGTTTCTTTGTGAATTTGCACTTGAATCACCTTTTGCATTTCGTTTGTTTTGCCCCCTCCCCATCGGGCTATTTTCTTTTATTTACTCTTCTTTTGTTTAGATTTGTGCATTAGCATTAACTCTAAATCAATAAGTTATTTTTATTTTTATTGTTTAAAATAGCTGGATGGGTGATGTTATTGAATGCAATTTTCAGAACAATGATAAACGATTTTTTTTCAAATAATAAGAAATTGTAATGAAACTAATTGTCTGAAACTAGTTTCTGAAACATTTTTTAAATCATAGGGGACATAAATCAAAAATCACGAGGATATTAAAAATAATTGAATCAATTGTGTGTTATCTATGTATTTTTCTTCATATCCTGAAGTGTATGAAACCCTAAATCGTACAACCACCATTTCAACGAAAGATTTTCTCCTTATAAAAAATATTATTATTAAAGTTTATTGTGCTTGAAAAATTTATTATCGTAAAGCACAATCCTCGTATTGTTTAGAGGATTGCGTTATCGTAATAACACAATCCTCTAAAACAATAAGATAATTTTAACTAACTTCAAACGGAGCACAAAACCTTCACTTATAAACTAGTCTTTGATGGCCGAACATTTAAGGCTTGCTTGTAAGTTATGTTTTGTGAAGCATTATTTTTTTTAAAAATCGAAATACCATATTTTTCCGGAAATTAAGAGTTTAATTTTACCCGCTTCAAGTCGGGGTGGTTTTAATAGACTGAAGACAACCTATGGGAATAGTGTAATATTTGAGACATGAGATAATTTAATCAGTATATTAATAAACTGATCTTACGGAGTTTCTCCATAGGGCAGGTATTTACAAATGGCATTTCAGTTTCGAAAAACAACAGTATACAAACACAAAGTGTTTGAAGCACGGAAATGTATCTGATATTTAAATTTCCTAATATTTTTCTTCTTCTATGACTTTTAATGCTATGTCGGTAGTAGTGGAATCATTGAAACTTCATGGCAACCTTAGTTTAAGTTATTATTATTATTACTCTGCAATAAATATGATTCAATTTTTCAGTTTCTACATTCTGTTATGGTTTTAAAACGAAACCAAAATGTAAAGTAACCAAAATGTAATGTAAATGCAAGTAAATTTTTTTTTAAAAAAATAGTTTACATTTTTCTTTAAAATGGCAGGCGAGGGAAAATTTGAACCTGGCTAATATCTTTTTAAGCTGAAATTTCATACCCTCACCCAGAACTTTTACTTAACTCATTTTTCATACTTTTCTTTCATTTTGATGTATTGATTTAGTATTTGTATTAATTTAGTTGTTAAAAGTGAAAAATATTATACTTAGAATTTCAGTAATTTATGGTTATATGAAATAAAGCATGAAACACCGTGTCTTTTTCTATGTTAAAAGTACAATCTTCTTAACCTGGCTCACTTTCAAACAATAATTCTCGAAAATTTCCCTTTTTTTGCTACTATTTGGAACTAAGAGAAACAGTAATTCAACTTTGAAATTTCTTTAATTTGCAAAATCAGTTATTGAAAAAATTAAATAATATGGAAAAATTAAAAAAATTTTTTTTTTTGAATTTTATATTTCAATGCAAATACAAGTCTGATAATTTAACATATTATTATTAGTAAATCTTAGACTGTTTTCTTTTATAATTAATATACACATATGTATAAAAGGGACCCCGGTGTTCCATCTGCGTCAAGGGGTCAAAATCAGGGATTAAATTTAAATATTAATTTTTTAATGCACAGGAATAAATAAGTTATGAAAGCTTTGAGTTAATCAATGTTAACTAAGTCATACTTATTGAATAAATATTGCTTATTGGCCCTTTCTTTCGAGTTAATGCTTGTATTATAGTAAAGTTAGAACAAGTTTCTATAGTAATAAAATGAATTTGAATAAAATTATTTTTTATCTGATTTATATATCAAAACTATTTAAAGTTATTTGCTAAATAATCTATCATTTCTATAAAAAAATAATATTATTTACCAAGCTCGTAAACTCATTAATTTAGAGAGAATAAGGTATAGATTTAAACTTGAAAAATAAATTTTCATAAATAATCTCGTGTTTCCATTTACAAAACCAACCAGAAATGTTCTGCAAATACTAATTTCTATCAACTGTTGATTACCATCAAGTCTTCAAATTAAAGCATGCCCCGAAAAATGTTTCATTCAAGCGTAATCATCGGCATAATATTTCATCTTTCACCGAACCCCTTTAATTGAGTGAATAATGAAACCGCGAATAAACAACGGCCTTTATTAGTAACGAGGCTCATCCGGGAAAGGGACTATGCAAATATTAGCAGTGCAATAACTAACGCACACATCTTAATTTCTCGTCCAATCTTACTCAGGCAGAGGGACTAACCCTACTCAATGGTAATAATCATGCAAACTCTTGTGCACTGTTGATTATCCTCGGGCAATTTCTGATTGAAGGATAGTATGGGGAAGGTAGAGATGTACACGCAGTAATGCATACGATTTCCTTAGAATATTGTGTCAATGGTATCCGCTCTTAATGGAGATTCCAAGCGTAAGATTGACAACGAAGCCCTTTTGACGCCTGAGGGTTTAAAGCTATTCATGCAGTCCAGGCTATTATCGTCTACTAGCTCAGCTGACTACATTATGAGTTTACGGCGGTATAGGCTAACACTACAGCCTAAATTCACACTTCGGAAATATCGGCAGTCTCCGATGTTTGTTGCATAATTCAAAGCCGGGATTCTAGAGTCCCCGTCACGTTTTACATCATGAAAGAGAATTCTGTTCCGTAGTGGTCAAGATGCGATGGCCTATCATAAAATGTGTTTCTGTTTCGGACACTACGAATCTCCTCCACAAATACTTCTTTTCCATTTCAAAAAGCCAGTCCCCTTCTTCTATCTGTCCGCGCCTTCCCCCTTTTTTTTTATCCTTCTTTCGATTCGCTTCGAAAATGGATAAGAAATTCTATGTGTAATACTTGAGTGGGGGTGGAACGGAATGGCTCCTTTCCCCTTCTCGTCCTTTCTTTGGCTTGAAAACTGAAATGTATTTGCCATTTTAGAAGAATACGTTTGAAACATGGGAATTTTTTTCATTTGAAAATTGCTTCAAAAGCACCGCGAAGTATGCATTGAAAAGAGAAATTGTATCGTACTTTTTGAATAGTCATATAACAAAACTTTCCAGTTTTCACAGAACGTAATTTCTGTTGAAATTTAATTATTACAAAATAAAGAGCCATCTCAAGTTTTCTATGACATAGCTTTCAATTTAACAGAAATTGATTACAAAGTATTAGCCATTAACATTGTATATTTATTTTTAGTTATACTATATGCATGTTTGATATCAGAATATACGATGGATGTGAAAAAAAAATGGAGAATATAACTATCTTTTGAATAATGAGTCCCTTATTTAAAAACATATAAAAAATCAATACGTATAATATCAGGGGGGCCGGAAAGTAATGTCGTTTCGGTGCATTTGATATTTGTTATCAAGATTTTATTTTTAATCAATAATGTAGTCACCCTCGTTCGCAACAACCTTTCAATGCCGGATCGAAAATGAACGGAGATTGGACGAAAAAAATTAATTGGTTTTTAAGAGTAACGAATATTTAATGCGCCGAAATGACATTACTTTCCGGTCCCCCTAATTCCTACCAGCTTATGATCATATGTAAGTGATATTAAAAAAAAGCATTTTTTATAACTTCAACATTAGCACCAACAGTTTAGCTATTTAAAATTAATAAATGCTTGAGTAATATCTGGGGTCAGAGTTTTGCTGAATTTAAATCACATGTCTGCTTAAGGCATTTATATTAAAAGTAGGAGAATTAGAATACGGTTGTAATGCTTCTTTAATTTTAATTTCTAGTCAGATTCTTTTTGCGCAAAATAAATTTACTTCATTTAAAAAGCTCAGTTAGTGAGAATACAAAATTATTTTTGAGGTCACAGAACATTTTTTCACATTGCTTTCAAAGTGCTCTCAGTATAATATTAATCGGAATAGATTCTCTGCATTAAAATTATTTTCATGGATTTTCTTTAAATTTCTATGCCTTTTTGGAAAAATTTGTTCAACGTTGAACCATATTATCGATACATTGAACTTTAATATTATACTGAAGTAAAATATGCCGCACTGTTTTACATTGAGCCATAATTCCGTTCAAATTGAGCTGGCATTCTGAAATGGGCATAACATATTTCCTAACATTTAAAAACTAAATTATTATCGTATTTTAACTTCTTCTTTTTCTCCATAAATAAGAAAATAATAAATTCGGGTAATCTTTTTATTTAATAACCTTGACTTGAGATCAGAATAAAATATAAATTTAGAGTTTCCCCTACGTCTGCCTCGCATATTATCATAGAATTCGAAAACCGTTACATGGTTGTTAAATGCTTTCATTTCATTGAAAATCATTATTATTTTCAATTTTTTTTCTGCCAATTCACTCGAATGCGTAAGGCAGATCAAAAGAGTCTTAGAATGAAATTGAAGCAATTAATAGCCAATACATGGATTTAATAGCCAATAATAGCCAATACACTTTCCTTGTAGAACAATATTCTAACGTACATGTGACACATTTGCATTTTCGAAGGATGGAGGTGTCCTGTGGTGCTTGTCTGAGTAGCACACTAGCCAGGCCATTTTCAGAATTTTGTTATTTCATAAATTCACGTATATAATAAAAATGCACAATATTTGCAAAAGTAAAAGATTTTTATTACGTATCAAATTTGATTCTTCATTAAAGCAGCTTATGATATTTAATGTACAATTGCATGCCTATGTTACTTTGAATTTGAATAATGGACAATTGAAAATAAAGCAATCAGCATTTCAATCAACAAATCTTCATCATATGAACCATAATACTGCGCAATCAATTTTAAGAATTACGATTATATGATTAAAATTAGCACCCGATTTCCAACACATTTGTACAATGTTATGATACATGTTGCAATAAATTTAACAATTTACCTACATTTTTAAAAAAATTTTTTGGTTAGATGAGATTTTACAGTGAGAAGCTACATTGCATTGAGAAAAAGGTATTTTAAAAACTACCAGAATAGGGTAAAATTTACCGTGTTCTCTGGCTCTATGGGAGCTTCAAAATCATTTTAAAGTAAAGCTTTTTTCAACGTAACGCTTTGGTAATGACTCATGTTGAAATTACCAATAAAATATGGTTTTATTATGATACTGCTAAGCAGTAATTTTCGTAAAATTAAAAACCACTCTACTGGGTAGTAAACTTAATAAATTTACTATCCATAAGAACTTTGAAAAACCGTTACAACAGTGTAGAGTTTATTATTACTGTTTTTAGAAGAAAAAAATACGGATTTTACAATATAATATAACTGAGATTGTGAAATGGAAACTAAGTCCAAGAGCTTCTTTATATAAATATTTATATCTGTTATTTTCTTAGCTCTACAATACATTTTCAAAACTTAAATGCTTCCCTAGATTTAAAAATGTTGAAGACGCAATGATTTATATTGCGATGGGTAATGACAAAATATAAGTTTCCAATTAGTTTCTATCAATATTATTTCCCATTTATTTAGCTGAAAACTTAAGTCATATCCTAATCACTATTTCTTAAACAACTAAAAAAATGATCGTCTAGTAAGCTCTTAAATGAAAACTAATGTCTTCAAAGTATTGAGTATTTAGGAGACAAATTTATGGATTAAAAAACATCAGTTACGTAAGTAATAAGTTATGTGATCTTTTCCTTACGAAACAAATGTTAGATGAATCAGATTATAAATATAAATCACACAAAGGCAAACTAAGTTGACGGTAAGGAAAGACAAAAATCTTAAAGAATTAAACGCAACGTTTCTCCAAATAATTAACCTTCCTTAGTAATTTTTCACACCCTTTCTCAAAAATGTTTTACGCGTCAGAGGATACTTTACTTTTTATATTTTCGAAAGGAGATTCTTATCGTTTGATAAAGACAATTTTGTCTCATTAAAAACGCTTGTTTCACTAAATCATTTTATCCTATTGCAATCTTTCAAGCTGAACATTCAAATGCAGCCATTTAAAAAAAGAGAAATAAATCACAAACGCTAGTTACAGCTCATTTAATTTCTAAGATGTATGTGCGTGTTTTTCTGCATTTATGATTCGGCCGTTCAAAATAAAAACAAATTTCTTAATTCAATATATGAGAATAAATGAAAATTGTCTTAAATCTTCTTGCTTTTCTAAATTTCTTCCTTTTTTTTTTAGCCAAGCACATATTTGAAAAAAAAAGTATGATAACCCTTTTGATTAGTTTCCTGAAAACTAGCATGATTTTTTTTTGATAAGATAAAAGTATTAATAAAGAAATATTATTTTCTCGTTAGGCAAGTTAAAGTTTTGAGAAACCTTATTCTTGTGACTTATCGCGAGAAAAATATTTTTTAGAGTATCGTTTTACTTTTGTAATGATGGAATAATATCATAATTAAAGAGTTTTACAACAACGGGGTTGAATACTTTTAAAAAAAATGGACGAGCTGATTCTTTAAACAGCGTTGTTTTCTGTTATAAAAATCAGAGTTTCTTATTTCAATACAATTATTTCTTGAATGAAGAGTAGAAAGAAATTGGAGTACAACATTGTAAGGAGCATTGAGCAAACATTTTGCAAATAAATAATCGTTAATATTCTTCCATTGCTTTTTTAAATATTTTTTCTTATGACAAATCTGTTATAATGAGCTTTAAAATTTGTCGAGGTAAAATATTTTATTGTTAAAATAGTTTATTTGCGTTCAATTTATTATGGTAATTCAAAAAGAGACACAATTTTTTGATCAGTTTTGTACAATTTGCGTCCTTTAAAAAATAGATTGTTTTCACAAATTATATTAAATTATTAATAAAGTAATTATGGTGAAGGAATATTCAGAGGGTTCCATTTTATGTTGAGATGGTGGTTCAGGTGGTTGGAGTTTATATTGTATAGTGGGCCAAGTTGAAGAATACTGACAAATTGAAGATTGCGATGAAAACAGAAGATGATGAATATAATACTTGAACTGGATCAGAATTAATAAAAAGCTTTTATTTTATATACTTGCAGAGCTCGAGGTACCAAATATACATATTATCCATAAGAATTTCAGTTGAATCAATTTTGCATAATAATATTAATAAGGACAGGCCGTGGGAGACAAATCAACCTGCCTAATCAAAAGCCAAATTAAAAAGTACGTGTAATTTGTTCCCAACGGGCACAGAAGCATGTTTAGGAGATCCAAAATTGGCGATTTAATAAATTATAACATAGCCAAAACAAAGCCAACCAGCATATCAATATTAGGTTTAAAATAATACCTTGGCCATCACGAGTCGCCAACAAATTTATGAGAATTATTACAACTATGCAACTGAAACATTTTTGCGGTTAGAAATTAGAATAAAAGTTATAAATAGATTTTAATTTTGGATTAGTAATGAAATAAAAAGTATCCGTTGCATTGATCTATAAGAGAAGGATAAATATTATATGTTCATGTTCGTTTTTAAAAGATTAAGTCTTTGATTTATTTTAAATGTAATTCTATTAATAAAAAAAAAGCTTAAGTAATGAAAGATATTTTAAAAGATAGAA